TGGACTGCATGGACTTGCTTGGAAATGTATTGAAAATACATTTCAGGCCAAAATCTTATCTCAAAACTATTGTAAAACAATGTCTCAGACACCAGGCAAAGTGTCTGTAACCATTTTGTGCAATTCACATCAAACTACTCTGAGCAGCTTTGTTTCTTAACAATTTAGCTATGCAGAAATTAAAACAAAAATAGTAATATCCCCCTTTTACCTCACTAACCAAGAATATATTTTTGCCCTTCTGAGTAAGGAAAAATGTCATTTTTGAAGCACTTTTTTTGAAGTCAAAACAATTTTGTTACCCCTGTTTTTCTCTGGTTTTCCAACAAAGTCAGAATAAAAATTTGTCCTGAAAATGTATGAAAAAACACACGCAGATAACTAATGGATTGCGTGGCTCATTTAAAGGACCTGTTTGCTTGATAAAGAACATCATGTTCAGTATGTACTGTGGAAATTGGATGCTAATTGCTAAACAGCATTGCATAAATCTAATTTTAAAAAGATTAGTATAGAACTCGCATTTCCATGAAACATACAAAACAAGAACACTGTGGCTTTTAAAATAATGACAATACAAAAAAACTGATATCATCTTTCTACAGCAGCACTTCTAGTCAAAACTAGATGCAAGCAGAATAAAAAAGGTCTCTAAGAACAGTGGAACCTACAGTACAGAATATTTAAGACAGAACAATCGTTTTCTCATTTGCATGTATTACACCTGAGGTGGAAGAAGCTACATGAGGGGAGAGAGAGAACGAGCCCTGTGGTTGGAATAACAAAGTAAACGACTTGTTGATGTAAAGAGATTAGCAAGCAAGCTGAGCAGCTCAATGGATTTTAATTAACTTGCCATATAGAAAATGCATGTTATTAGGCGCTACTTGATTACATGGTGAGTGCAAGTGCTCTTTCTGCTTGGACGACTGGAATAAAGATCTATTTAGAAGGTCTGCTTTACTGTAGACAAATAGCGGTGAGCTACAAGAAGCCAGGTGTTACTTCTGGGCTATGATCTTGAGCCAACAAATCCAATCAGAACACATAATACACTCACTGAAGTCTCTTCTATACAGCTCTCTATGGAAAAAGTCTATTCCATATTCTACACTAAGCACTGTACGTGAGTTGTACAGTGTAACCCAGCACAAAAGGGACCCCATGCCTATCCGAATAAGATTCTAATATGAATATCACAGATACTTTGCCTGGTGTCTGAGATGCCGTTTCACGATAGTTTTCAGATAAGATTTTGCTCACATACACATACATGAAAATCTGCTCATGGGCTTTCAGAAAGTCCATGAACAATTAGCGTTTTGCTGCCAGGTCTTTTGACGCGTGGCTTCTAAAGGCTCTTTCAGACTGTATTAGACAGAAAACGTATGAGTTACAATTTAAATGAGAGAATGATTAAGGATTAGCCTTGCTGCAGCCTTCTGCGCAATTGAGAAGCACGATCATAAAGGCACATTTTGAGTCTAAAAGTCAGCACTGTGCATGAAAAATCCTTTTTTTTCATTTTGTGTAGACATCTAGAAACATTTAAGATGTTGCAGTTAGTTCAGGTAGTAATAGTTGGTACTTCTCACTCTACTGAGGTCAGAACACATATGATATTCATAAGAAACTGATTTCTATTTTTTCTTGCTTTTGTAAAAGGAAAACAGATGTTGGAGCACTGCACTGGGTCTTTATTCTGCACCAAGTACGATTAAATAAACAGCACTGCGCCAGCCAAGGGAAATAAAAAACAGACTAAAGACAAAAGCAAAAAAAGACCCCTTTTTCGAGAGAAAAACACGTTATATAAATATTGATACAGGTGTGTCACTGTATCAGCGCGCTGAGAATTTTATTACAATGCACTGCCTTATTTATATTCTGAGCACAGCTCTAATCATAATAAGCTCTTTATAAGATTGAGGGATTCTAACACTGAGATGAAGGAAATAGAGGGAAAGTGCACATTTATACAGCGTTTCACAGCAAGAGGAATGATCTTGGATTACATCTCTCCAGCCTAAATAATTCTACTCATTAGGATATACAAAGCAACAGCTGATCCTAGATCAGCACTTGCACTTCGAGTGTGAGCAACTGTTTGGCTTGTACATTGAGGTCGTTTTCTACATCATTTGGGTCCAGGATGCTACAGCTAAAGATGTAGTTGATCAGCAAAGACATGTTTGGTGTGCAAATGTTGCTTCTTTACTTTAACTGTGGAGGCTAACAAGCGGTAGAAGTAAAGAGCCACCCAGATCTTTTCCGTAAATACATCTCCAAAACTTCTGCCAACCGGCTCAAACTGCATCAAGATCTTCATTAAGACTGCACAGACTTGTCAGTGTGGTTTAGGGCACAGTATGACTTACTGTAACTATAAAAATGAACAAAAGAGAGTAGCTGAACGCTGCGGGTAGCCTTTTTAGACAACATCTGTTGTTCTGATTTCCACTTTAGCAGCAGAAGCTGGCTTTTATTCGCATACATGCAAATTCATTTCTGTTGTTTTAGCCTTTAAATATAGATCTTCAGTTAGAAATTTAAGATTAAGTTATTTATAGAAAAAAAAAACAGAAATCATGAAAGTAATGTGCACTGTTCATATGTCTGCATGACTTGCATGTTTGCGTTCAGCTACCGGGTGAAATTTTGTTCATTTTCACAGTTCACAGGAAGTCATTCTGTGTTCTAAATCACATCAGCAAGTCTGCATGACTTTAACGAAGACCTGGATGTGGTTTGAGTAGGTTGAAAAAAAGTTGTATGGTTGTATGTGGGGATGTATTTACAGAAAAAATCTGGGCGACTGTTGACTTCTGTTTGTTAGCAACATTAGCCTTGCAGCTACAGTTCTCAACTATACATGTAAAATTTGTTTTTTTTTTCCCAAACCATAAGAGATTAAGGGATCAAGCGTGGACAATATGCCTAAATGTTATGGTTATCATGATACATTTCCTCACAATAAGCTTTTCTGAGCACTTTCACTGACCTAAGCTTTGGAAGCCAAAAGTTATTAATTTTGCTGTTTTCAAATGTCAGTATATACTTGCATATTTAATGAAAACTTTTCATGAAATTTAATTCATAATAAAATCTGTTTACAATCAGCACTTTTGATACACTTTCTTGGCTTGTTTGAGTGAGAATATTGAATAACATTTTGTTTTTGTTATCGATAGTGATAACTGAGAATACTGTGGGTTAAAGAGATTTAAAAGAGGCACTCATGTGGTGTAGATCTTTAATGTTTTTCCTTTTTTAAAATGTGTCCTTTTCAAAAATTCAGCTCATCAAATCTGCAAAAAGAGGTGGGTAATGTGTCAATATTTTATCGTTATCACAATATATTTTGTTATGATGACAAAACAGTACAAAATCATGGATATCGTCAGTACTTAAAAGAACACTGAACACTGTATGCTTCATTACACAGAGAGCATTATTAGACCTGTTTAATTGGATGTAGCTCTGTACATTATGTGAAAGGGTGAATTAAAATCACTGTACCCAGAGTTTTTGATGTCTTTAAATGTGGTACTAGTGTATTATGTCAAAATATTGTGATAAGTATTGTGCAATCTGAAAATGTCTTTAAATATATTATTATATGATATTTTTGTCATATCGTCCTTTACTAGAATACCCCTACTGGGTATGTATTGTGCATAGCCAATGCCTGCAAGTATTGTGTCTATACTTTTGCTATATTGTCCAGCCCCAGTTTCACTGACACAGCATTACATATCTTAATCATCCACTTGGCAATGAACACAACCCTCTGGAAGTCTAGGTCCTCTGACTGACTGCAGCACGCAACTTCTCCTCCAAAATTGCACACATCTCCCCACGCTTCTCTGTCCTCTACCTAGCTTAATCAGGCTCCGCACTTGACATGTTTCATGGTGACACGTTCTCAGAGCACGGTGACCTTCCATGCAAGCAAAGAGACTCATTGGGCCCTTGAGGGCAATTTAGAACCACCAGGCCTCAGGAAGATGGATCCGTCATGGCTGCCCAGTCTATTTGGGGCACTGATGTCATCAGGAGGCACCTGCCACCTGCTAGCTTTACTGCATCCCGGCATACATAGTGAGGAAATCATTACTGCCAATCGCAGAGACAGGCCAATATTTACTCACAAACACTGCCAAAACGAAAAAACTGCACTGTGACTTAAACGGACAGCTGAATTTCTTTTCACATTCATTTGGCTCTGAGTAAGAAGGAGGTCTTGATGGTAAAATTACATTTTCTTTCAACTATGTCGCAGTCAAGCTAATGTATGAGGAAAAACCGTGATGTAAAATGATGTACTGGCTCATTCCACATGTCCGGAGGGCTAGGGCTGAAATATCTAAAAACAATTACAAGAGCGGGGGGGATGACTCATCCCGTTGTCCAATTTGTTTCACAGTTGCCACAGTGCGTGAGGGGCTGGACTGGGTAAACCCACCACCACGTGCCTCAAGGTCACTGCCAGTATGCAGAAAAATACACAAACTCCACCGCAGAAACAATGTAACTCCATTCAAACATTCCATAGAAATATTAATGGTGTCTTTTAAAGAGGTTCAAGCTAAAACAGAACACAGAAGTAAACACATTGTGCAAATATGCTTTGGTCAGACATATTAGTCTTCTATGACACATTCTGAAGGTTTTGTTTATGCCTATTATAAGACATTTTTCAATCAAAATGCAAAGCAGGAAAAACAATACGATCACTCCCAAACTACCGTAAAAAAGGTGCATTTACAACGGCTTGTCACAAACAAGTGCCAAGCTGAATTATCACACTCTGTTCTTCATTTCCATAAAGCAGCAAAGAAGTGCTGCAGGTTCAAAGCATCACCAATTCTAAAGGGAAAATTATAGCACAACAAAATCAGCCTCCTAAAACCTCATTACCATGGCACACCTAACAGAAAACCCCCACACCACTGCACCCCACCCAGCAGACAGGCAGAGATAGCAGACCAGACACTCACCATTTTCTGTGTTTTCATGCTCGGTGTCCGTCAGGGTCAGGTTGGAGTTGGCTCTGCTGGACAGGCAGGAGCTGCGGCCAGACTTGGTGTTGCTGCGGCCCCAGAGCCGCACCGCATGTTCGGGGGACACTATTCCGTCTGTCTCTGTGTCTGCGTCCGAGCCCACGCTGACCGAGTAATCGCGGTGGGGCATCCCCAAGTCTGGACGGTACGCTGCCACATGAGGAGCCACGGGGTCTCCAAAGGCCAGATCACGGAGAGAGAAATCAGTTCCTAAAGCAAAAACACGTTACCAAAGTGTAAAATCATCCTATTTTATTAAAAATAGCAATGATTTCAAAGTGGCAAATATACATAAAATGCTTCTACTACAACACTAGCACCCTACATTTCAGGTCAGTCTAGACTGATCAGTGGAGCTGCAGATGGTTCTGGAATGAGTAAGAAGGCTGTAAAGCATTAAAAATTAAATTGTAATAAATGTAATATCCAAACTGTTTTCGAAAAGTGCAGATAACTTTGCAAAAAATGACTATAAATAGGTAAATACAGTATATTATTATAATTTTATGCCTTTTCAATAAATAAACCAACTAAAAACATCTTTTGATGTCTAGTTTATAATATTAAAATGTTCTACATATTGCATAAGTTATTACATAATATTGATGATGATTAACAAGACAAATGTTTGCAAGCTTCTGATCAATAGTTTAAATGTCAGATTTAAGGTCCAGAATAGAATAATTGCATGAGAAGAGAGAGAATCATTAAAAGACAGACACTCTGACAAAACGCTACAGCACATAAGGTCTAAATATGCAAATATGTCATATTATCATTAATGAATTCAGCAAGAATACCTAAAATAAACAAATATACGAGGACAAGTCAGAAAACTGGCCCACTGAAAATATAAAACTGAAAGTTAATTACTGTAGCTTTGACATTTGGCAAAATTGAACGCACACGGCTTGCACAGACAGCACGTGTGCACTGAGAGGAAGAGTGCTTGAACTTTCAAAGGTTCAGAGAAAAGACTTTGAAAAAGATGTCTAATTAACATTCACTTTCCACCAGACTGTCAACACCTTTTCAGTGGACTCCACTGAATATCCGCACATGAAATTTAGTGTCCAAGTGCTGAGAAACAGGCAGTGACTTATATCTACACAAAAAGTCTAAAATTTCAGATTTACACTATACACTCAAACATGACTGAGGAAGATCTAAACTTACAGGTAAGATTTTGTCCATTATTCTTTCATTATACTCTTAAAAATAAAGGTGTCAATAAGGGCACACTGCCATACAAGATTCCTTAAAAAACCTTTCAATGGGCTTCAATCCTAAAAAATATTTGTGTAAATGAGACAATTGAGTTTGAAGATCCTTTTTAAAGTTTAAAGAGTGTCTACGCAATGTAAAGGCTGTATGCCAATTGAAGATGTTTCCAAGAACTACACAACCAAGACAAGAACCATGTAAGAACCTTTATATTTAAGAGTGTAGTACTTAGACAATCCTGCACTGTACTGTAATAAGAACTGATTACAGCCTAGACTCATTCAAATATTGGTGCCAAAAGGCTTCTTTGAGTGATGCCATTTTTATTTAGCTAAAAAAACGTTCAGTGGATGGTTCTTTAGCAAAAGAGAAATGTGAGTGTGAGGAACCATCAAATAACAAAGGTTCTAGGAAGAACCCATAAATTGTTATGGAATCTTTACATTTTGTAAAGGTTCTTTAAACCTTTTAAAAGATCCTAAAGGACCTTTCAATGGATGGTTCTTTGAAAAACTTTTTGTAAATGAGATGGGTGTGAAGATTCTTTTTAAAGTTATAAAACTGCCACATAATGTAAAGGTTATATACCAATATATATACACCAATTTAAATCGATTCCTAGAATGACATCATAAACAAGAACCACTTAGAAACCTTCATTTTCAGGAGTGTACTACTTAAAACCTCCTGCACTGCACTCTGATAAGAAACGACCACACCGTACATTCTTCAAAATATAGGTGCCAAAAAGGTTTTCTGCACAATGCCAGAGAAAAAAACACTTTTGGATCCCTAAAAAAACCTTTCAGTGGATCGTTCTTTTGTAAAAGAGAATTATGAGGACCTTCGCACAATGTAAGGACTCTGGGTAGAACCAACAGTTTGGTATGGAACATTTACATTATGTGAAGGTTCTTTAAACCTTTAAAAGGTGCTTCACACTCGCAGATCACTTTTTCAAACATTGTTCTTTAGGGAACCAAAAGTGGTTTATCTTTTAATCACTCAACACACCTTGTGACTGAACAGGCAATTTACAGGAGGAGTAGGAATGCAGTGATATGGGCTGATGCTGAGACCCAGTATTATTCATGTAGACATCTGTCAATACAGATGTCATGATACATAAGCCTTTACAAAATGTAGAAACTCTGACTAGACCCACGTGGATTAGCATTACAGGGAAATTTTCAGTCATTTACAGACATGTACAGTCGTGTGCAAAAGTTTAGGCACCCCTGGTGAAATGACGTTTTGTTGATTTTCTAAGTGAAAATAAGTTGATACGCCCACTACAGAGAACACACTTCTGCACATTTTCATGCACAATTGCTGTTTATTTGCTGAATTTAACATATTGGAAAAATTAAGCAAACATAAAATGTGGCCTGTGCAAAAGTGATAACACATTTTAGTATTTTATACATTTTTATAATTTTACTTTTGTGTTACATGTAAGTTTTTTCGCTGTAGAGGATGTGTTATTTTCACTTAGAAGTTATGCTCACTTACAAAATAATCAAAACATGTCATTTGATCAGGGGTGCATTTATGAAGGCTTATCATAAACATAGCCAAGCTGAATTATCAAACTCTGTTGTATTTTTGTAGGTTTACAAATGCAGTTACATAAATAAAATTTAGAATTTAACAAATCATTAAATATCAGTTTGAAATAAGAGTCAAATCTAAATTTAAGTAATTATCAGCTGATACGGATCCGATTCGGACACCTTTGTGCATCCCTAAATAAAAATACAGAGTAATCCCTCAAGAATGCTGACGGGCTTCAATAGAAACATGTAGGTTGCTACATGCTAGGTCACTAATCCACTTACAAGTGAGCTGGTGGTGTTTTTCGCTACCACTGTTTAACATGATAAATGCCTAACTGCTTCACCCCTTAAGTGGCAAAGCTCTCCCTTAATGAGTGCTGGTGTATTACAGAGATATTACGCAATAGATAACACAATAGCAGATTCTTCATTTGTCTTCTATCCTTAGTAACACTGACAACATAAGTGCACTTAGAGTAAACAGTGCAGAATTCCATTTACATTAAAATCAAGAGGCAGGAAGCAGCCCAGATTAAGCATCTAAAAGCTTAAAAAGAAATAATATAGATTTATGTTCAGGATAGACTGCAATAACAGTTAGTGCCCCTGAAAGCTACAATGCATTTAGTATTCACAGAAGGGAAGCGGGTATTTTTTCAGGTCATCATCAGCTGGACACATTAGAAGGTCATAAAAGACATCCGCGAATTGGCATTCACCTCACCCCCTCTCATTAAACTCCTGCTGGGCTAATGGCAGGGCTACAACGCTGCATTCAACACTCCTTTTATCTCTCAACTTTTAGGCGCTGCCTTTTTTTCTACGAGTGGAAAGGAATATATTAAAGGCAGATCAAATCTTCACCACAGTCTCTCTTAATTGCTTGAATGGAATCACTCTGCGAGGCGTATCTAAGGGACGGGGTGCATATCTCCAGCCTGCAAGACGAGCCCCCCCGCTGATACTTATTATAGTGCTTTTCATGTCAACAACTAAATGTAACAGATATCTACTTCGCCGTGCGGTAGAGGAACGAGAAGAATGATCCTGAAACCAAGGTGACTGTGCTATTCATAACTTTGTCAAAAGAACATGCATGAATGATAAGTAGCTCTGTGCTGCCAGTGATCAAAGATCTAATGAGCAGACCTACATCTAGCAACGGTGAATTAGTTACAGCCTTCAAAATGTCACATATTACACCAGACCTTCTAGATGTATACCAATGATATTCACATACGCCCAGACGTTAAAGGAACAGTTTGGTAGAAAATGAACTTACACAGTTTTTACCCCAAATATAGTCAGTCATGTTTGGTGTCTGAAGTTTGCTTGTTAATTCTCGCACACAGCTAATGTAGCTAACAAGTAATAAAAGTTTATAGCCACTAATTAGTATCATACAAACTTCATACCATATTGTACACTTGCCTAAACTCATGTTATGCTGTTAAGCAATCTTAAATAGGCTAGTCTATGTGGTTTGTGACACCATACAATACGCTGTTATCTACAAAAATGGACAAAATAATGAGCAAAATTCAGACTTAAAGATGCTGCTACTGTTTTTAGCTATACAAAATACTTTTGTCCATTTTTATACAGTGTCACAAACCACATTAGCCTTTCAGATTGCTGTAAGGGTCCATGACATGGAAAACCAAATTTTCCTCATAAAAGAATCTGATGTAGTATGTCAACACTGTTAAACTTTCAAAAATATACTCAGGTCAATGATGTTACACTAACAGCCTGTTCTGAATTCACTGTTGTTGTGAAGTCACAAAAACCTGCTCATTTACTTATATCCACCTTTTGGGGTTAAATACATTTAGCCCCACCCACTCACACTGAGGTTTCAGCCCAGACGGCTTTTTGAATACGGATCCTGTAAAAAATGAATTATGACTGTTTTTGGTATACACACACAAATGTCACACAGTGGACCTTAGGAGGAAAAAATAAGGGAAAAATGCAAGATATGGGCTTTTTAACAAATCATCATGGTTTGAGGCAAGTGTGATGATTTAGGCATGCAGTATGCATGATGAACACTGGTGGTGTTCAAGTTTCCATTACTTGATAGCTACATTAGCCTTGTACCTCCAGAGTAAAACTAAAGAAGCAAACTTCAGACAGCAAACATGTCTTGGTAGATCCATTATATATTAAGAGGGTAAGCAGAAAATTGTTCCAACCATTATTTTAATGACTGTTAGGTTTGAATACTGTACAAACAGTTCTTTGTTTTGATATAAAGTTTACAGAAGAGGTGTACAACTATCCTAAAGCACCTTATCTGGTGTCTAAAAGTGGAGCCGCACTCAGCCTTGACTGTGTTTCTTACCTTGCCTGCCGAACTCATCCACTTCATGATGCACTACCTCTTTGGCACGCCCACTGTAGGTCATGCGGGGGTCTTGGTCAAAGGCCTTGAGGGTCTCGCTGGAGCTGTAAGATTTGGGGTTGAGTTTGCCGTCCTCACTGTCGGCAGATGAGCTGGTGTAGCGACGCTCTGTGTCCCGCCGCGCCGTCAGAGAGCGATACGGTCTGCGTTCCTTCACTTCCATGATCAGCACGTCTTAGTTCTCCACATCAAAAGCGAAGGAGCCAGTTCAGTCCCTCTGATTCTACAAGAGAAAATGATTTCGTTTGAGACATGCTTTACTGCTTGTTGGCCAATCCACATTTTAGGTCTGAGGCAGTGTCAGCATCCTATAAATGTACTTTAGTTTTACACGTGTATGTCATTATATTTATATGCATTTCTTTGCAACATTATGCAACATCTCATCACTTTGGTTTCTCAGGCAAAGATAACACTCTATCTTTTACACCCACAACAATACAAGACAACCATGAAAAAGTAAGAGTAACTACAAGAACTGTCCTAGTAGATGCATCGTGCACACAACACAATCCTGGACACAATCAAATCATAAATTTACTATTTTATGTCGTTGATAAGACCGTACATGACAACAATAAGCAAAACCAATCAAACAAAGAACAACAGACTGCTGAAGACCGTCCTTTGATAATGCTTTATCTTTCCTTTCCCAGTCCAAACTTCCTTTATGGTGCACTGCAGCACTTTTGTGGCTTTGATAAAAACACAGAGGCACACAGTGCAGGCAGCCAGCAGGATTCATTCTGATAAAATACGGCGCAACAATTCTTCTGGCTGTATACTTTACGATCTGAGTCCTGCCACAAATATTCACCTTCTTTTCTCTCTTTTTTTAAACAAGGCTCAGAGAGAAACGCTGCACTCCCAACAGTGTTTTAAGTGGCAGGTGTCCTTCCATGTGCCATGCTGTTTGTAAGATATGAATCATAGCTCAATTTCTGTCAGAAATATCCAACCAGCAATGGTGGTTAAACAAAGACCCAAGCATAAAATCCATGAATTGATCCTCTATTGCGAATCAATTCAGAAAGTGACTGAATTAATTGAGTTAACTGTTTGTCTACTGTGAATGAATTCAAAGACCTACTGAGTAAAGTGATTTGCTATTGTGAATCAATGCACGTACTCATTGAATTAATTGACTCTTTATTGTTAATCAGTGAATCAGTTCACAGACCAGCTAAGTTAACTGGTTCTCTTTTGTAAATCAATTGATACACTAAGTGAATAAACTGATACCCTAAAATTAATCAGTTCGCAGACTGACTTAATTGATTCTCTATTGTGAAAATGAAATGATTAAAAAACTACGCCTAACTGAGAACGTATGCAAAAACAAATTTCATCTTGCTAAACTAATTCCATCTCATAATTTACATTTTTTTATATTTAGATTTTTTTGGTACTTCTGCCAGCTACACTGTATAGACAGTCTTAAAATAAGACATTAGTTCAAGCCAATTTCCTTTGTAAATGAACAAAAACCGGAAAAGTCATAAAGCAAGTTTAAAAAAAATTGATAAATCTGTTGATCGATAAAACTAATTATGCAAACAGCAGCACTCAGCAGACGTCAGGTCTCTGTGATCGAAGCTTGCAATGCAACAGTGCCTAAGCTTGCATGCTAATGTACCTAAAGAGTGAGTAACATATAGAAGCTGTTAGTTATAAGTGAAAACAAAATTGCGATTCTGAGATTAGCTGCTTTAGCAAAGAAATGATGAAGCACACGGGTCTGAACAGCAATTTACAGGGCTCCACGTTCTGTCTTAGCAGGTTATCACATGGTACCATGTGCCCATGAACAGGCTTAGGGTATGTCGATATGGATTTATAAAGTTGATTAGAGGCTGGGTCATTGTTTCTTCAGAGGCTCACTTAAAGTAGAGAGATTTCCCCGCTTGATTCATTTAATTTGTTTCAGTCAAGCTCTCCACAATCGCTGGGCTTCAAATCAAGTGTGTCATGCAGCACAGGGCGAATTATCTGAAATGGATCCAGCTGAGAGCCATGCTCATTCTGTGTGCGGAAGAGGCTGCTTCATACGGCCGCTAAGCCGATCCACTACCTGAAAAGTTCACAGCTTTGCAACTGGTGTTACAAACAGAAGCGCTGAAACAATCTAATAACTCAAGGCAGTGCTATAAGGTTTAAGTGCTCCACAAAATTAAGAGTCGTAAATCTTCAAAAATAGAAACGTCAACCAAAACACTTAATTAAATTAAAAAAAGGCCCAGCTCCTCACAACCTGCTTCTAAAGTTTTTTAAGGCTGGTGTACCATAAATGTGTTGAGTTAGGGCAGTGGTCCACAGTAAACTAGATCAAACCCCCCATTCAATGGCCTCTTTATTGCCGAGCCCATTTTGGCACTGGGGTCACCTTTTGTATGGACTGACAGCTGAAAAGATGGCTGTGATTAATGACTTAGAGACCTCGGTGCGGGGACCTCCGTCATCGACAAAAACAGCCTTTCTCTTAAAGCCCCGCAAGAGCCCTTCAGCTGCTGGCCCTGCATTTCTGAGCTTTTTGCTTCTGGGTTACTAATTTTTTAGCTTTTACCCAAGGTCCTCAAGCCTATGCTAATCATTTTGAGGCTTTATCTTGAAGTTTAAGGGGGTTTTGTTTTCGTGCATTGTCTTAATTCCCAGAGAGCGGTGTTCAGACGAACAACCACAGCACTCTTGCACATATGCCTTCCTCCTTGTTATTGAACGGCTGGTATGTGTAAGGTTGTACCTTTGAGGCCATGGGAAAGCGATCCGTTCTTTCAATAAAGCAACAGGCATCACATGCGTTAAGACAGCTAGCGCAAATGCATATATTTGAAAGGAGTGAACTGTGACTGACTGATATAGTACTGCTAAGAACTGAAGCTCAAGTTAACTGAAAAACAAGAGAAAACATTCATGCCCCGTGTTTATCTTTGATAGTGCATTTGGTAGTATGAATAATCAGTCTAGTCTGTTTTTATCTAATCCCTAGAGCTCAGTCGTGGCTAAAAACAAGATGCCAACAAGATGCTGGGAACTCTGGATTTCTGCCCTGTTGTGCACGCTATGTAAGAGAACACAGTGTGACTGACTCAAGATTGACATGTGTACAGAAACCTAACATAGCTGTGGAAAATTCTAGACAAATGCATGTCTACTGAACTGTATGTCACCACACTGCAATGGCAGGTTGAAAATGTCATAATGCAGTTCAATAATATTACTGGTACTTTTTTGAGCAGATCTAAATAATAGCACTTTTACCTTTACGTGATATGAATTAATAAATAAATAAAGCTTTAAAAATAAGCACTTTTACTTCACTACTTTAAATTTTAATAATCACTACAGAGTCAAAACAAGTGTTTCAACTTGTGAACCCATTAGACAAAAGCCTGGTTAGATTTATAAGATTCAGTTCTGAAAATTAATCAAAGCTGCGCTAGGCTCTAAAAAAAAGGCTACAGTTCAGCCCTGATGTGCTCAGAGATGCTTAGTAGAGAAAGAAAGAGGATAATGTTATTAGCACACGTGAGGAACACATTTTACCCAATTTGTCATCTTCATTCATTTTCAAATGAACTAAAGAAAGCAGCATTATTCTGGGCTGTTTCTGAAACCTGTAGAGATCTCAGCTTTTTACAACTCAGCTTCAACCCTGAGGAAGCATGCAAGCATTTATCTGACTGGCTAACTAATCTTAGGATTAAACAGGCTAAACAAGTACTATGTCCTTTCACTGTTTTCTTCTTATCTTTCCACCTGAGAATAACAAGTTTGATAGATATTTATTAAACTTGAAAATTGTTGTGTATATGTTTTGTTGCATGCCTGTTGGCTAATTTGGCAAATGTAAGCTAACGTTCAAAGTGAACTAGGGCTGTAACCAAAAAATATATTATTAATTGAGTAATCTACTTATTTTCAAGTAATCTGTTTTCTTAAAGGCCATATAAAAACAGAATTAATTAAACAGTAACAAACAATGACGAGCCTTTCTAGGATTCTAAATGGTTAGAAGCAGATAAACTGGGAAGCTATAATCTAGTCATGAAATACTTGTAGTTCAACGCAAACTTTGTGCCTTACACAGTACACAGACAGTGGCTAAATATGCAATAGCAAAGCATACTGTGATCAGTCTCAGGATGCAATACTTGTCATCCTTTTCTTATGTAATATATTTTGCTTTAGTTTTTCCTTTATTGGTTATTTTCAATGATAAAGCCAAAACTCAAAAATATGTTCAGATTGGGATTACAGATACATAAAAAACTCCAGTAGCACTGAAGTAATGAACAACAAATTTGCTCTTATGACAAAAGCAATCCAAAATGACCTGGAATAAAATCTGATTACATTAACTGACATGACAGGTTTTGCTTTCACTTGTAAACATACCATTTTTTAAGAACACTGATATAAAATATCATTTATCTTAATTTTTTTTTTTACATTATTCACATTACTATTCTCACATACTATTAGTACATGCTACTGTGCTAGTTTTTCAACTTATGGAAATGAAACATCTAAGCAAATGATTAACAAACAGCAACCCATTTTCTAATTGTGGTCCCTGTAGAAAAATCAGACTGCACTTATTTGCTACCCTGAAACAAGCGAGCACACTGACTGACTTTAGCTTTAAACTTTAGAAAGCAAAGTTGTCTGGCTATTTTGTAGTGAAACATTCCTTACGGGCAAACAACCAAAATCACTGTAGCTGGTAGAGAGCACCTGCAATGCACTCTGAGGAAGCATCAAACTGTGTATCTATAAAATGATCCAACGCTCAGGTTTTACTTTTCTTACAAATTCAGAGCCATTGATCGGTGAAGTCCTGATTCGATAAACACCTGCACAAACTCAACCTGCTGCTGTGGAGCCACAAACAAAAACAACTTGTATTTACCTTTTTTAATAAGGTGATGAGGCAAATGGGCTGGGCTAGCTTGACATGCTACTTCTCCCCACCCAGGTGCTGAATTTCATAAGCAGAAAAACACCTTGTGCCTCAGCAGCTGCTGGGGGTGGGAAGAGGGCCTTGGAGAAATGGCTCCGAACAGAGCACTGTATCACTTTCTGCTCCCCAAACCAAACAATATGAATGCCATTAACCTCTGCAACGATTTATTAAAGCAGGCAAAGCAGGAGGGAGGGAAGGAGTTCCACTGCAAAACACCCTGGGAGGAACCAATATATCAGAGGATAGATAACATCAACCGA